CTCCCCATTAAGTTGCTCCTCTAGTCTTCATTGTCGATGGCTGCTTCCCTCACCATCAACTATGTCTCCTTGTTGTCGTGTTCTTCTACTGAAGTGTTAGGTCACTAGATTTCCTTTCCTATCATCATCCTCTAATTCTTTTTTGACCTAGATTAGTAGGTGAATGATCTTCATCTTCCTTTCATCCTCATTTACTGGGTGTGGTGCATGTGGTAGACTTATTGCTTCTCTTCTCTTTCAGTATGATTGGCCGTGCAAGCTTGAAGCTTCAATTCTTTGATCATCTTTAAAGAAAATATGGCATTCTTGAGATTATTGCTGCCATGAGAAATGTAACCTCCTTGAGGTTAAATCACACTTAACTCTAAATTATGGTAATCCAGGGCTTAACTCACAAGAATTTCCAAACTGTAGGGTTTATAAAAGAATTTCTCAAAATCTATTTCAAAGGAATCCCAATTTGCCATTTCAAATCTCAAATATAATTTAAGGACTTCAAATTAGAGTTTTTAAAAATAAAACAGAAGCTTGAAAATCAATGAGGACCCAAATAATGAGTTTTAAAGCTCAAAATAGATTTTTACACAGAATTTGACATGTGCGCTGCAGCTTACGATTCGTGCGCCATGGCGTGTCTCCTCTGTGCCATGTGCTGTAGTGTGAGGCACCATGCGCCACGCTGTATTACATAAAATTTGATAGATCAGTGTTATCATTTGACAACATAGGGAGCGAACTTCTGACGTGTCCTAAATCTTCGTCCAACGTCTGATTGAGGTGGTTTTGGTGTCTACACGGAGCTTTCTCATAGATCTAGCTAATGGCAAAGGTTTCACACTCAAATTCATTTTCTATCAAAAGTTGGACACCAAAATCCATTTTGACATATTTTCCCAAAATTTCTCAAATGGGGTGTCCCAACTCAACCGCACGTGCCAATAGCCTATACTAACCCTTCGACTACACTCAGTAGACTCTTACGGACTCGTGCAACACACCACATGCAACCCAAAACACTAATTTCACAAAATCACCACTCAACCCCAATTTTTATGAAACCTAGAAAGGGAGGAAAAATTGCACAAAACTAACCATTTCATTCATATTTCTCAAAAATATATATGTTCCTACTTGTACAAGTATTTTGGTCCTATCCATGAGTTCATAACAAAAACTCACTAACCTAGGGCACAAAATACATTAGTTAAAATACAAAATTATGCAAGTAGTGCATCAATCATGACAATTGTTCCTAGTTGGCAAATACATTAACAATTACACATGTAAACAACTAAAGAGAGACATAAAGAGGATTTAATCCACAAATCCTAAGTCTCTGTGTGTTTTTCCTGACTCGAATCCAATGAACTAGTTCCTAAAAATATTGAGAATTGAGAGGTGAGTACAACCACTCAGTAACCAAGTTTCACTTAACCCTTGCAGTTACATATTAATTGTAAATAGATGCAAATAGACACATAACACATATATCACATAGTATTAGGCCACGGTTTACAAAACTAACAACTATGTGACTGGGCTTGCCACAAATACTATATCATGTTTTTTTAAAGATATAACTCAAGGTCACAAAAATAACAACCATGTGCCCTTAACATATGCCGGACCACAAAACTAACAACCATGTAGCCGGACTTATATGTATGATCATGTTCCAACCTTATATCCTCCTATTACCTCTGACATAAAACCAGTGGCTATCACGTGGCTATGTCTTTCATAGACTAACCCAGCCTTCTACTTGTGAGAAGCTACCGGGCCAGGGTTAACTCACTCACTTATGTAATCTAGTTTCCCCCAATACTAACACCCATGGGGTGTCGTACTTCTAATCTAGCCTCCTCATGAATCAGTGGAGACTAGTTAAGTTTGAGTCCCTCGTAAAACAAGTGGGAGAGTCTCGAATCAACCATAGGACAAGGGCTACCTCTCGATTCCAACGGTCGGTGCTAAGGCTAGTTCTCGATTTCAATGGTCATTGCCAATACCACATGGATTTCTAATCAAACTACTCCTCTTCCTAGGTGAACTCCCGCCAATGATCATGCCATGCACATTTCACACATTTTATGCATTTCAACATTCATTACTCAACACATGAACTCATATAAACGTATACTCCATAATTTAACACATAACTCATTGTAATTCTCACCCATAGTAATAAATCACAATTAATTTCATAAAACATCAAGGGTGGTAGAATCAAGGTTTTTCTTTCTCAAAACCATTTCATACTCAAGCATTTGCCAATATGCATCATCAAATTAACTCACAAATCACATTTTACAACACAATTAATATTTAACTATAAAAATTAAGTTTCTCCCATTTACCTCAAACCTTTGAGAGGTCAAAGGTTTACCCCTCACTATAGCAACTTCCCTAAGCTTCAACAAGCTTGAAAGGTGCCAAGATGAACCTCTCTACAACCAAATCATGAGGATATCATCATCATCTAACTCTTCAAGCTTTATCAATATAAAAAACTTCTCATACACTATTTTACCAACTCATAACCACTACCCATTCATACACAATGGGCTCATTAGATTCCACTTATGCACATTATCATTAATAACATTTCAAACCATCATTAATGCACATTAACCTCTCCCAACTACCTCATAAATACTAATTTTCAAATATTAAATACTCTTATGGACCAACCACTTCCAAAATTATCAATATGGTGTTCCAATGCATTAAATCACTCCTATTGATCTCATTTTTAACCAATGGAATTGGACCCATACTCTTATGGACTAAAAATTCATCTCCCAACTCATACCCTACCATAAATAATCATAAATGAGAGAAGGAAGGGAAGAATAAAGCACCATAATTTTACCTTGGGTGTTTGGAAGCTTTAATCTATCCTCAATGGGGCCAAATATCGTGCCCTAGTAGAGCCAAAACTAAGCTCTTCATTTTCCTCCTCTTTCTTTCTTTTGTTTTCATGTAGCTCACGAATCAAATTTACTAGATTTTTGGCCGTGTGCCGCGGCGGACTAAACACGCACCGTGACACATGGCATAGAAGAGCCCGTTACATTTAAATTATATCTGTGCACTGTGGCGGACCAACCACGTGCCACGACGTGTGGCATAGAACACAACTCTCCACTTTTTCATCCTCTTTCCTTGCCCGAGTGGCCCACCATCAATCCAGACCCACTTCTAAGGCTGAAACCACATCAATCATGCCAAGTTAAGCCCCTTTAGCCACACACCTCATTAATTCACTAACTATCCTAATTAAATTAATAAATTAGGGTTAAAATTTTTTAGATGTTACAAGAAACTTTGATCTACCTAATTGCTTTATTGCTTCTTTACACTATGATATACACAAGCATTAATATAAGAAGGACGTTTAACAATGATTTTTTTATTTACGTTGGTTATTAGGGGAAGTAAAAAAAAGGTGAAGTTAAAAGTCAACTTTCTACATCATTCTTGTCATGATTTTGATGAAATTGAGGTGTATTCTAGTTGATGTTGTGCGTTATTTTATTTTTATGTTAAACTAAATGTTGATGATAGATTTAATGTTCGAAGTTGATTAAATTGTTGGATAATTATTGTGAATTGAATTTTGATACACTCAAGATGTTTGTGAAAATGCTTGAAAGAAAGATTTGGCCGAAATAAGGTTGCTTAATCTTTATATTAAGGTTTGGAAGAATTATGGATGCCACTTGGAAAGCTATATGTGTAATTATATCTATAAGTAATAAGTTTGAAATATTGATTGGAATCTTAGAGTACCTAAATTTGATATTATTAAATTAAATATTGGTTTATGGTGCATCATCAAGCATTAAGAAGGCATAAATGAATGGGAAGGTTTTCTCTTGCTCTTATTAGGTTATGGTTAATTTACTAATTTGACAAGGAAATTGTTGGGTATGTATGTTTAATTGTGATTTATTTATGTTGAACTTGGTTTTGATAATTATAAAATAAGAAAAGTTTATGTTCGACATGTTTAATAATAAAAAAATAATGGCTTGTAAGGAAATTTGTTATCTTTGATTTAAGTTTTTGTATCTCGCATCTTATTCCTTATTCCCAAATATGTCTTATTCCTAAATAGCCAAGTAACACATGAGCTTTCCCTGAACCCATTCATGTTGTGTTTCTCTCTAAAGATTAAGTATATAACTTGATCTTAATTCCTTAAGGACCTCTTGTATTGCTTGAAAGGTGTCTCAAGTGAACTTAGAATCAAAATATCCTAAATCTGAGAACCTTTGTCATTTTTCTATATAATGGTCCTTATTCTAGAATAGCTTCTTTATTTCAAAATATCTTATTCCTAAGCGAACTTCTTTATTCCCAAGTATCAACTCTCTTGTCTATTCAGAAATAGATTATTTGGGAATTTGGGAATAGCTATCTTTATTCAGGAATAATGCTTTATTTTTCATAGCTTATTTGCGTCGCGTCTTTCTGAAGTTACTTATTTAGGAATAAGTTATTCAAGAATAAACTATTTAGGAATAGCACTTCTTATTCCCAAATGATATTTTCAAATCAATGCTTACATAACTCTATTCAAATATAAAAATCTTACTTTGAAATATGTCTAGTCTTTCTTACACATCTGCTTCTATTTTATTTTGAAATATGCCTAATGCGTTGTGCTCTATTTCACGTGAGTAAAATAGGGGTTAATTAAAGCTCTCATGGTTCATTATCCTTTCCTCTTCTGAGAGTAATACATATTCTCTAATTTATCTAGAATCATTCTAAACATGTTTCTAGGTTCATCTGAACTTAGCTCAATTTTATTCAAAAAATCTTTATTCCCAAATAACTTTGTTCTTTCAAAAAAGCCTCGCATCAATTCTAGGCAGTTGAATAAGGTTACAGTGAAGAACAAGTACCCACTGCCTCACATCAATTATCTCTTAAATCATTTAGTTGGTGTCACAATTATCTCTAAGATTGATTTACATTCTAGGTACCACTAGCTAAGGGTTAGTGAGAAGGATGTGGTAAAGACGGCTTTCAGGACTCAATATGGCCATTATGAGTTCTTGGTATGCCATTCGAGTTGACTAATATGCCTGTAGTTTTCATAGACTATATGAACCACATCTTTTGTCCTTTCTTGGATTAGTTTGTGGTGGTTTTTATTGATGATATCTTGATCTACTCTAAAGATGAAGAGCAATATGCCAGACACTTGAGGACTGTCCTAAGATTTTTGCAAGATGATAAGCTATATGCCAAGCTTAGTAAGTGCGAGTTGTGGATGAGAGAGATTAGATTCTTGAGACATATCACATCAGTAAATGGTTTTGTGGTTGATCTGCATAAGGTTGAAGTAGTCTTGCAATGGAAGAGACCAAAATTGATTATAGAGATCTATAGTTTCTTAGGGTTAGTAGGTCACTATTGGCATTTTATCAAGGATTTCTCTCAAATTTTGATGCCTTTGACTAGCTCACGAGGAAGGATAGGCCATTCATTTGGGATGATAGGTGCGAGACAGCTTTTCTTAAGTTAAAAAAAGGTTAACAACAACTCCAATGTTAGTGATTCCAGATCCTCAAAAGCCTTATGATGTGCACACTAATGCCTCTCATAAGGGTCTTAGTTGTGTTCTAATGTAAGATGAGAGGGCAGTGGCATATGCATCTCGATAGCTTAGGCCGCATGAAAAGAATTATCTGACATATGATCTTGAGTTGCTATGCCATCATCTTTATGGAATAGAGTTTAGGGTCTTAGTGACCATAAAAGTCTCAAGTACCTGGTGGATCAAAAGGAGCTAAACATAAGACAGAGGTGCTATATGGAGTTTCTCAAGGATTATAATTTTGAATTTAAGTATCATCTAAGGAAAGCAAATGTGGTAGAAAATTCTCTTAGTTGCAAGATCTTACATGTGGCCTATTTAATGATTTGGGAGCATAGACTGATGGAGTCTTTGGTTGAGAATTCTCTGAGTATGACTGAGTTTTCCTTGAATGGTCTTAAGACTACAGTTATTTCTGATGAATTTTAGAAAGAGATATGGGATGCTTAGCTTTAAGATTCAATTTTGTTAAAAATAAGTCAAGACATCACAAATGGTGAGACAATGGATTATTAGTTTAGTGATTATAGGTATGTGGTTTTTAAGGATAGGGTGTGTGTTCCTAACAATAAATCTATTCGAAAGCAATTGTTAGACAAGGCACATCATAGTAGCTACACCCTTCATCCCAGTGCTATTAAGATATATAATGACATGTAGCGTCACTGGTGGTAGCTAAGCATGGAAAAGAATGTCATAGAGTATGTTAGTAAATGTTTGACTTGTCAGAAGGTTAAGGTAGAGCACCAGAGACCATCAGGGTTGTTACAGACTCTGGAGATTCCCAAATGAAAATGGGACAATATTTTAATGGATTTGTATTTGGTCTGCCAAGAACCCAAGCTAGTTTTGACTCTATCTGGGTGATTGTAGATCGTGCTAACTAAGTCAGCACACTTTTTACTAGTCAAGACCACCTATATAGTTGATAAGTATACCGAGATCTACATTAAGGAGACTGTGCGATTACACAAGGTACCGAGGGATATTGTTTCAGGCCGTGATCCTCATTTACATCAAATTTGTCACAAGCTATGCAAAGGGCTATAGGCATGGATCTAAAGTTCAATACGTCCTATCATTCATAAACAAATGGATAGACTGAGCAGATGATTCAAACATTAGAAGATATGTTGAGATTGTGTGCCCTAGAGCTTTAGGGAAGCTGGGATAAGCATTTACCTCTAGCAGAGTTTGCTTATAATAATAGTTATCAGTATTCAGATGGCTCCTTATGAAGCACTGTATGGAAGACGGTGCAAATCCCCTCTCTGTTGGTATGAAGAAATGATTGGATATCAAATGAAGAAATGGTATACTCTAAAATTTGTTCTGGAGGTGCTATCACGATAACTATTTAATGCTGTCATGGTAGCAACGGTTGTTGAAGTTGCAACATGCATGAATTTCAATCCATCTATTGGATCTTTTCAAAATTTGGCATACTAATAGTACTCTTTGAATTTGACATGTGGATCTAGAATCACTTCAATTAGAGGTCAGATGAGAAAATGATGCACTTTAAAAATTGTTCTGGAGGTGCTATCATGATAGCAAAAATGTCCAAACTTGTAATGTGTCCAAATTTTAACCGAACAATTAGATCTTTTTGAAATTCTAAAAACTATTAGTACTCATTAAAAGTGACATGTGAGCTTTGAAATCACTTCAGTTGGGGGCCAGATGGTGAATCGGTGCCTCCCAAAAGTTTTCTCGGGAGGCTATCATGACAGCAAATTAATGCTATCATGAAAACAATTAATTGCTCTTGTTTGTCCAATTTGCTTCTGTGCACTATACAGTAATCCTTCAAATTTTTTAAGAGGTTTGAAATGTTTATTTTGCTGTTGTATAGATTGTTTGGTAATTTAAATGGTTTGTTTCTTAAGTTGGTTTTAGGATCAACTCCTTAACCACACTTAGTTTATTTGGTTGTAGTGTGCTTTTGTTAATACTCGGGACAAGTGTTACATTCAATCTCAAAACAAAAGTTATAGAGGAATCTATACATGTTGTATTAGATGAAAATCCAACAAAGAAGGATAACTCTGACATGGATGAGTTAACTGAGATGATGGATAATCTGCAGATTTAAAAATCTTAAAAACTTCCAAAAGCAATTGAGAAAGTAGAAACTCCATCTGAGAAAGAAGAAGAATCTCTACAACCAACGCTTGGAGGAATAATAAGAATCATCCTCTTAATTATGTCATTAGATAAATAAGTGAAGTAATGCGTACATAGAGTCATCTTTGGAATATAGCTGGTCAATCAGCCTTTATATCAAAATTGAACCTTAAAACTATCAAAGAAGCTCTATTCAACTCCTATTGGATAGATGCTATGTAAAAGGAACTCAATCAATTCGAATGAAGTTAAGTTTGGGATTTAGTACCAAGACCTAAAGATCATCTAGTTATTAGAACCAAGTGGGTCTTCAAAATAAACTTGATGAAGGAGGAATTATTGTTAGAAATAAGGAAAGATTGATAGCTAAAGGATATAGTCAAGAAGAAGGCATTGATTATGAAGAAACATTTGCTCCTGTTGCAAGATTAGAAGCAATTCATCTTCTCCTTGCCTATGCTACTATGAAGGATATTAAGCTCTACTAGATGGACATGAAAAGCACATTTCTAAATGGATACATCCTTGAAGAAGTGTATGTTGAACAACCACCTGATTTTGAAGATCCTCAAAATCCTTATCCTGTCTTCAAGCTCAAAAAGGCATTATATGGACTCAAGCAAGCACCAAGAGTATGGTATGATCAATTGAACTCTTTTTCACCAAGAGTATGGTATGATCAATTGAACTCTTTTCTTTTGAAAAAAGAGTTCAATTAAGGTAAAGTAGATACTACCTTGTTCATTAAGAAAAAAGAAAGAACATTTTCTTTTTGTAGAAGTTTATGTAGATGATATAATATTCAGTGCTACTAACCATTCCTTGTGTAAGGAATTTTCTAAGTTAATGTAGGGTAAATTTGAAATGTCAATGATGGGAAAACTAAACTTCTTCTTGGGTCTCCAAATTAAACAAAAAAGGGATGGTATTTTCATGTATCAAACAAAGCATTTAAAGGGATGCTCCAAAAGTTTAAAATATCAAGCAGATAGAATAGAGACTCCCATGACTTCATCTATTAAAACGGATGAGGATGCAGCTGGAATAGAGTATGATTGCAAATTATATAGAGGGATGATAGGATCACTACTATATCTCACAGCAAGTCGACTTGATATTTCCTTCAGCTTAGGTCTCTATGCTAGATTTCAATATGCTCTAAAGGAATTTCATGTGACAGCTGTAAAGAGAATATTCAAATATCTCAAGGATATTGATACATCAAGACTCTAGTATCCTAAAGGAGGAAGTGAGTTCTTGATTGGATACTCTAACATAGATTTTGGAGGATGTAAAATAGAGAGGAAGAGCACAAGTGGGATTTATCATTTATTTAGTGGCTCACTTGTATCTTGGGCAAGCAAGAAACAAAACACTATTTCCTTGTCATCAATTGAATAAGAGTATATTGTTGCTAAATTATGTTATTTACAAATCCTTTAGATGAAGCAACAACTTGAAGATTTTGGTGTAATGACCCTAAATTTTAAATTGGACAAAATTTTTCCCAAGGATATTTTATTTAAATAAGTTTTTTTAGCAAGTTTGATTTTATTTTATTTTTAATTATAAGAATTTTTTTGCTGTTTTTGGTAATTTTCTTGTGCCCTTTCTTGTGATTTTCTCTTGCTCTTTCTTGTAATTTTTCCAAAAATTCTTTGATCATATTTTATATCTTGCGTGAATGGAAAACAGAGCATTCTTGTCTCTTATATTCACCGATCTTAGACTTCCTTTCTCTCATCACTATCGGGCGTTTCCTCCTCACCTTCGACTTGTCTCCTCGCTGCCAGCTATTTGTCATATAAATTTCATCAGCTGTTCGTCCATTTCTGTTGAGTGGTATCACTGAATCTCTCCTCTGTTTCTTCGCTGCTATGTGCTAACAGAGGTGTATGCGTGTTCATATCTTTTCTTTTCTTCTCCTCAGCAGCTGGACATCGGTGTGTGCGTACATAGTAAGCTCAATCTCTTTTTTTTTTTTTCTGATATGAAAATTTTTCTTCTCTTCTTTCTACTTAGTTGTTTACAGCAGTAAGGTTGAGTCACTGAATATCCTTCTCTGTCATTATCCCTTACTCTATGTCCAAGGGAAGTAAGTAGTTTCAGATCTTCTAGCATCACTGTCGTCTTCTAGCTTTTCTATTAAAATTTCACAGCTGGACGTGTTGAAGTCATTGGACTTTCTCTCCTTTAATTGCTGTTTTTTTTTTTTTCCTCCTTTTGCGCAGTGACCGATGGTGGTGCTTGTTTGTGCTTACAGTGTTGATTTATTCTTCTTCCTTTGTTGGTAGCATCGCCTGTGTGCGTGCTGCAACATTTTTGAAGTTTCAATTCTTGTCCTGAACATTATTTCTATCATGGTTGTTGGAAAAAATGAAATAAAAATAATAATAATAAGCTTGAAATTTATATTGAATGGCTTAGAATTTGCAAGCTAAATTAGCTTTGTTTGGATTAGTTGATGTTGAAAAATTAGATAGGATGAAATTGAGATAGAGGAACTTAGACATGAAGATTGGAGATTAATGCCTATGCGATATTTGTTAAAATGTTTATTAGAAGATATTGAGCTTCCTTTTGAATATTTTTAACATTTCATTTATTCTTATGGAAAGTATAGTTAGCTTAGATGTTATTAATCTATGAATTTAACTTAAAAGTTGCAAAGGAGATTAGACTATGAAATAATTAATATATGAGGGTGTGGAAGAATTATGGATAGTACTCGAAAATCTATACATGTAATGATACATCCACTAGTAATAGATTTAAAATAGTGGTTAGAACCTTAGGAACCTAAAGTAGTTGATATTAAATTTAATATTAGGTTATGGTGCTTCGTTAACATTAAGAGGCATAAATAAATGGAAAGGTTTCTCTTGCTCTTGCTAGATTATGATTAAGTTACTAATTTGATAAGAAAATTATTGGTTGTATATGTTTAATTGAGATATTATTTGGGATCAAGTCATATCCCAATAATGAGTTAAGAGAATTCTTGACTAGTGAAATTAAGAGTGTAAAGAGAATTTATTTGAGGTAAAAAGAACTTGTTATTTGTTAGAAATTAGGGTGTTAAATATCATCTTAGTTATGTTAAGGAAATAATAAATAATTGATTTTAGGTTGTGATTTGCTTGCTAGGAAGTTAATGCCACCATTATAATTAAGGTGAGAAGTTGAAGTGAATGAGCTTTAAAATTTTGAGAAACTCTCGCGCGAGTGGGTGGCATTCCGAATATATTTTTAGTAAAGTATTTATAAAAAACATTCTTTATTTAAATATTATTATTATTGCTTTATAAATTGTTTACATATTCTTGTTAATCCTATTTTCATATTAATAGTATTATTTCTCATAAGCTGTTTAATTATTTAATACCACGTTGATATAAAATTTTTATTGCAATGATTTTGTGCATGAAGGAAATGATGATAATTTTGGGCAATGCAAAATAATAGTTGAATAATATTTGAAAGTGAGAATTTTGAAACTATTTTCTTTCTCCATACACACTTTATTTTAATGAGGGAGACTGAGTTTAGAATGCTAGATGCTGACAGCAGTTTCGTTAGCTCTTGGCGCGCCGCTATAGTACACCTAGCTAGCAGAACGCTTGTGGGAGATGCTAGTCCCATGTGCGGGCAACGCATATGGAACA